CAAGGTTCTTCCCGGAGATGACCTTGGGCACGGCGGCAGGCGAAATCTCCGGGAACCCGGGTTTGCTCATGACTTTCACCTGGTAGAATAGATTGTCGAAATTGCATCCCTTCAGGTCGGATACTCCCGCCTCTTCTGTGACCCGGCAGATGGGATTGATGACGATGTTCACAAAATTGAATTGCGATGGCACCGTGTTGAAGTTGAAAGGCGTATTCGACCGATTGAATACGATATTGACAAAGTCGTTGCCAAGGTGACGCTTCTTGTTGATGCAGGCCGGATCGTGATCGAAGTTTGTGGGCATCATTGTCGCAACGTGGAACACGATTTCAGTCACCCGATCCCTCCAGGCATAGGTGGAATCACCATCGGAATCAGCATGTAAGCCCTGAGTATTGAAGCGGGCACCCTGGAGAGGAACCTTGGTTCCAAGCTTCGACAGGAAATACTCATAGTCGGCGCTACCACCAGTGTTGGACAGAATCTCAGCCTCCGTGGTCTGGCCATTCTCAACATACAGCACGCCAACTTTGTGCCCATCCACAATGTCATTGCGGTCAAAACTGCTGAGGGCCCGCCGGGTCATGTCATCATCGGGCAATAGGATGGGCTGCACAACGGTAGGTGTCGGGAAGGCCGTAGTGGTCAGCTGCAGCATTACATGACTAGGTAGAACGGCAGTTCGCATGGCGTCAGAATGCAGATGGGCATCAGGAGCCGCGGAGACTTGGTGAGCTAGGACAGGTGCGGTGCGTTGCTGATACATCGCGTACGTGGTACCTGATGCCTGCCTCTTGGTCACCTGGGTTAGGCCAGAGACCCCGGCTGTCTCAACAGTCACGATACTCATGCCGACAATCCAGGACTTTTTCGACGCGGGACCATCTTCAGGAGAGGGTGGAAATGTCGGGTACGGGATGGTATCGCCGAGATCTGAGAAAGCGGCTCTCTGCATCAAATCGATAAATACTTGACTTTGTTCTTCAACCGTTTCCTTCCCATGCTCATCCTTGAATATGAGTCTGCTGGTGATCCAGTTGACATGTTTCGCTCGGTCTTGCAGCTTGAGAGACAGAAACCAGAACACCATGACATGATATGTCAATGTGTAGATGTACTTGGACATCCCATCCTCTGACGACTCCGGGAGAGAATTCAAAGACCCGGTGCTTCCAAGTCTAACAGCGCCAGGGGTGACTCGGGTAGGTGAGTCTGTCTTAAACCGACTCTCTCTAGAAGTTTGCAGGAATCGAATGCATATACCAAAGACCGTGCGGATTTCTTCGTCACGCAAGTTGACATAGACCTCAGGTAGGCGGGCGAGAAGGGCCAGGAACTCCAGAATATGGACGGCGAGATTAGACATCGTAATGACTTTGGACATTTTGTCGAGGATTCCGTTCAATGACTTTGTCACCGATAAAGGGATTTCATGGCAACAGACAGATAGGGCATGGATACAACCACGAGAAGTGCCACCCCAAGATCCGATGATACCCATCATGAAGGCGCGCACAAGCTCGTCTTCTTCGCTCTTGGCAAAGTGCTCGTGATAACTGATCAAAGCGCATAGAAACTCGAATATGTACCCGGCAACATCAGTCTTCTTAGTGCCAGTGGACGGTGGCGGTTCACGAAAACTATCGTTCTTGACCTGATCACATAAGACACTGCGCAGCAGCTTGATCTGAGGTACAGCGTTGCTGAACAGATCCTTGTTCTGTAACTGAGCTGCCAAGTGGGTCAGCACATAGCTGTAGATATCCCAATTTGTTTCGCGCTGCAAGAGTGATATGACCGTCTCCAACCACATGTTCGCCTTCAAAGCTACCTTCTGTGTCGGGTCCGATTCGACCGGACTGGATGCATTGGCGGTCGCGTAAGCGTAGACATAAGGGCTAGCCTCAACCGGAGGTTCCTCTGGGAGAACTTGGGGCGTGGAAAATGTCCAGGACGGGGGCGTCGGCTTGGAGGATCGAAGGGGAGCAACGGAGTTCTGTCTGGCTGACCTGGAGAGAAGACTGCCTGAGGGCTCTCGTGGCAGGTGTCGACCAGCTGAAATGGTTCGCCCTTGGTCGTTGTCGGCACTCTGGTCACCAGTGAAATCTTCATGGGGCTTGGAGCCAGCGTCAAAGCTTCTACCAGACACGTGCATCATGAAATCATCTTCAGGAGTCGAGACAACAGTAATAGACCCGGCGGCATCGCATCGCAATCTGTAGAGTAGTTTGAGAGATGTTAGACGCGAATCTACTGGCCATTCAGGAGACTGCGCTATCTTCAGCAAGGCCTCAAACACTGTGGTAGCCTTGTTTGCCGACATGTTAAGCGTTCGCAAAAAGATTTTCACAAGTCCAGCCGCACAAACATTAGCTAGAGACGACTCTAATACACTAGTGAACGATTGACGGTCTGGAGATAGCGCGGTTGGCTCCGAAGCCGCGAGACTTTCCTTCTCCAGGTCCTTACTCATGGGAGAGCTGAGGACTTGGATTAGCTGATCAAATGATTCTTGGTTGTTGATTGTGATGGAAATGGCAACCAGAAAAGCGAGCAGTGATTCAAGCAGCATTATGTCATCCTCCTCATTGAATTTCTCCAGCATGATCTTGAGTAGGCCTTTCTCTTCGAAGTAGCCAAGTGACTCGGGACTGTCAAAAGATTCCTTCAGTGTCTTTAGCGCGGTGACTCGAACCTCGGAGGACTTGGTGCGTGAGCGAATGAAGCAGCGAATCAATCTCTGGGAATGCTGTAGCCAATTCTCATGCCCAGGAGAGCAGAACCGCTCCTCCCGCATGGTCTCGAGAACGAGCTCAGCTTGTGGAGGCTCGATAAAGCGACAGGCGTTCATGAGGAAACGTGTCGAGTCTAACCGTTGCTGTTTATTCAAACGATCCCAAAGAGATTCAAGGACAGATGCTATCTGGATGGTGTTGGCAAGAATACTGGATTTGGAATCATCAACAACGCTGCCTTTAGGAGTGATTTGTTGAGAGTCAGAGAGTGTTGGGCATGGTTGCTCAGGTTCATCGACAGCCCTGGCCGAACACGCATTCATCAGGTCGACGAACGCGCCCCAGTCCTTTTCCAGAGCCACTTGGACAAAGTCTCCCTCCAAGATGTTCAAACATAAATCCAGGATGTCTGCCTCCAGCCGGCCATCATCCTTCACCGTGGCGCTCCTCAAGCAGTCAACTATATGTTCGAACTGTAGTTCTGGAATCCCGTCCTGGCCGTGTGCACGAATTATGTCCGTCAACACATACACAGTTCCCCGCACAACGTTGAGGTTCCGACTCTTTTCTTCAGAAAATTCTGTCAGGAATGTATATAGCTCGTTGACCATATCAACCTTTTTCTTTGACTTTGCCAAACTTCGAACAACTCTTGACGTCGGACCTGACAGAGGTTTAACAGAGGCGTGAATGCTGCACAAAACTTCAAGCAGAGGAATGAAGCTTCCATCGGGCACGTCTGCGTAAAGAATGACCGCATCGAATACGCTGAGTGAGTTCTTGATATCTGCAGCAACGCTTGTCTTTTTGCAAATGATGAAAAGTTGTTCTAACAGTGCTTGTACTTCTTCACCGGTAGGGGGCTTCCGCTGAAGAGTGATAAGATCGACCACAAACTGCAGAACTTCATCCAGAACGGCATCGTCGAAGGCGTGTCCATTTGTTTTTCCCGGCTTCACCTTCCTTGCTTTCATCCGAACGGAAGAAATAACCTCATAAAGTGGAACAAGGCAGGCAGATATCACGGGAAAGACAGAAGAGGCGGCGAATTCCAGTTTCCTGCCATGGTCTGATAGCGTTATCAAAGCTTGAACACGGGCTGGTGTGACATCGCTTTCTGAAGGACTTGATATTGACTCGAAGATCGTGCGCCGGGCTGCTGGGGACAGATCTTGTCGTGCCGCGACAGCTTCGAGCAGCAGCGAACCACTGCGTCGAGCCTCTGGGGAGCTCTCATTCTGAATCAGATATGCTCCTGCTTCCCATAGAGCAATAGCTTGTTCCGGAGTGTACCACTGAACCGACTTCGCAACTTGTTCCGCCTCCTCGATAGCATGCCCTAAATTCTGCTTCTGGGTCAAGATCCGGAGTGCCGCATCGAAATCCCGCGCACCCGAGGTATCGGATGAGCTGGAAACCACGCTTCCACGATGCATTGATGCTTTCTCTCGCCCGATTAAGCTTTTATCGCGCTCATACGTTGATTGTGAGGCCCGAAATTACTGCTGTGTGCGAGTGACAGCAAGGAAAACGACCTGAGGTGAATAGTCCTAGGGAATGGGAGACGTCGGCGAGAGTTGCTTTTGAGTTTTGAATCTGAGAGGGAACTGCAGCATCGTCAGATTGCATGCGTTCTTATAGGCTAGAGGGCTATATTTGGCTCTTCAAGGCAACGGATCGTATAGCTGGCGGATGACTGGTTAGCAACGGGCCGTGACTGGGAGTTACAGATGCCATGGTCAGCTGAAGCAGGCAAAGTCTAGAGCAATGTTCCACTTCGCACGCAATCTCACATCACATACCATTGGTAGGTCACATGAAGATTCGAACAACGCTTAGAGGCCCGCGAAGGGTTATGAAGCTTGGATCGGGCGTTACACTTAAGAACTGTCACGACCTCTTTGAATCGATAGACAAATATACCCCGCAGTAGAAAGCTAGGGTTTTCTGCGGCGGGCAGTGACTATAACCTCAAGTATGAGGAGAGCGGTCTTGCACAGACACAGCTGAGTGAAACTATAGTAAACAATTAAATGAAATTAGATTATATCCAGAGCAAGAAAGTGCCAAGCCACTTTTCCCCTCAGAGCATCGATGATGATGATCTGGCGGAGGTCGGGAAGGGTTTGATCCGCATGATCACCTGACCCTGAATAGGCAAAATCACCCCGCGGTGGGTTGCCCTTCACCGCCTAGATTTTGCAAAGCAACCGCCAAACAAACTGCCCAAACCAGAACTTTAGCTCCCTCCGCCTCTCACTTAACCGACCTTAAACCATCTTGCCTGAACATACCATTTGGTTTACAAACGGAGCTTTGCCCACTTTCTTTAAAAAGTGACAGTCTCCTGCTGATAGCAAGCTAATTTCCCTTGACTCTCAGATAAACCTTCTATCATCTCTGTCATTGCCTGAGCAGCTTGATCACTACCCCACTCCTCACAATGGCTGACGGTCTTGGGGCTGTTGCGCAGCTCCTTGAGGCAAGTTTGGACCCAAGGCAAAACAAGCAAGGTTAGTCTTGTCTTTTATCTTCCTGTTGATGCTGCAATCTCGCTTCAGTGCTCTGTCCTATCAAACACTTTTGATGGCCATTCATGCACTTCGCAAAGCATATGTCTAACTTTTTTTTTCCCTAGCCGAACTTGCTCTCCGCCAGGAGGAGAAAAAGCCGGGCTTCTCTTTGCAGCTTCTCCAAATCACTGCATCTGCTACCTACCCTTATACTACCCGCTTGGCTAGTTCGCTTTGCTTCAAGAACTTCATCAAGAGGAACTGGACCGACGAGGATGGAAATTACAAGCTCCAAGCGGACGAGGTTGCCACGATTAAGCGGGAATTGATCAGTTTGATGATCTCCGTGCCTGCAGGCATCCAAAGCCAGCTCGGAGAAGCTGTCAGCGTGATCGCTGATAGTGACTTTTGGGAGAGATGGGATACTCTCGTGGATGTAAGTCATGGCCGTCGCATTTTCGTTGCAGGGCTCTCAATTGACTTCTGTAGGATCTTGTTTCCAGGCTCCAACCGACCAACCCCACTGTCAACAACGGCGTTCTCCAAGTCGCGCACTCAATCTTCAAGAGATGGAGACCATTGTTCCGGTCGGATGAGCTGTACAGTGAAATCAATCACGTTCTCGAGAGATTCGGCAGTCCCTTCTTGGCTCTGTTCGAGGTACATATACTCCGGAATGCCCTACCGTCTATTCAAGACTATAAAATTGCGGTATTCATGTGCTGATTGGTTTTAGGGCTTGGATGCTTTCCTCCAGCAAAACACTGCCAACAAAGAAAATCTCATCCAGGGATTTACCCAGCTCAACTTGATGGTCAAGTTGATGTACGACCTCTCTTGCCACGATCTTCCACCAATGTTTGAAGAAAATATTTCAGGGATAGCTTCACTTTTACTTAAGTACCTCACATACGATAACCAACTGCTGCACACCGATGATGACACCGAAGCCGGGCCATTGGAGTTCGCCCGCGCCGGGATCTTCCAAGTCTTGACTCTTTATGTCCAGAAGTACATGGATGAGTTCAAGCTTCATGTCGGCCAATTTGTCGAAAGCTCCTGGAACTTTCTGACCACCGTTGGGCAGGAGACCAAGTACGACATTCTGGTTAGCCGAGCTCTGCAGTTCTTGACTTCCATTGCTGGCATGTCTGAGCACGCAGTTGTCTTCCAGGCGGAAGGCACACTTGGCCAGATCATCGAGAAGGTCATTTTGCCCAACGTTAGCTTGCGCGAATCCGACGAGGAGCTTTTCGAGGATGAGCCCATCGAGTTCATCCGTCGTGACCTTGAGGGTTCCGACAGCGATACCAGACGCCGTGCCGCCACCGACTTCTTGCGTCGGTTGTCGGAGAGATTCGAAGAATCCGTCACTACTGTTGTCCTCAAGTATACGGAGCACTACCTTGCGGAGTATGCCAAGGATCCTGCTTCGAACTGGAAGGCCAAGGATACCGCCACTTATCTCTACTCCGCAATCGCAGCCAAGGGACTTGCCACTGCCAGCCACGGTGTAACAGCCACGAACTCGCTCATTAGCATCACCGATTACTTCCAGAAGCACCTTGCTGCCGATCTTGTAAACAGTGAGGGAGTCCACCCAATTCTCAAGGTGGATGCCATCAAGTATTTGTACCTCTTCCGGAGCATCATAACCAAGGAACAGTGGCAAGAGGTGCTTCCTATGCTTGTCAACCAGCTTGGCTCTTCGAACTTCGTTGTGTACAGCTACGCCGCTATTGCTGTCGAGCGAGTTCTTTACCTTGCCGATGCCCAGGGCCAGCCAATCATCGCTCCTGGCACTATCACTCCCTTGGCCAAGGATCTACTAGAACACATTTTCTCCCTGATTGAAAAGGACCCCGCTCCCGAGAAGGTTCAGGAGAATGAGTTCCTGATGAGATGTGCCATGAGGGTTCTTATCGTCATCAAGGAGGGTGTTGTTCCCCACACCGACAGTGTCCTCCAACACCTGATCAACATCACGACTGTGATCAGCCGCAACCCCAGTAACCCTAGGTTCTATTACTTTCACTTCGAAGCTTTGGGTGCCTTTATCCGGTATGTGTGCGATCTGGCCGTCCGCGCTCCAAGCACTGACCTTTTCCTAGTTTTGCCGCCCCCAGCAATCCGGAGAAACTCGAGCAAGCTCTTTACACGCCTTTTGCTGAAATTCTACAAGGTGACGTTCAAGGTAATATAGTCTGCAAGCATAAATTCTCACGGACTGTTGCTGATATATGTACAGAGTTCATGCCTTATATCTTCCAGCTTTTTGCCGCTCTCCTCGAGGCCAATCCTTCCGGAACCTTGCCGAGCTATTACCAGAACCTGATTGGACCTATTCTCATGCCTGTCATGTGGGAGTCGAAGGGTAACATTCCGGCGCTGGTGCGGCTGTTGTCCAGCATTATTCCTCGTGGTGCTGAGTACATCATCCAAAATGACCAAGTTGCACCTATCCTTGGTATCTTCCAGAAGTTGCTCTCCACCAAGACCAACGAGGGTTATGGATTCGACTTGTTGGAGGCGGTCGTTACAGGATTCCCTCCGTAGGTTGACCACTCAAGCAAAAACTCACAATAGAACGTGCTGCTGACAGCTTCGCAGTGCGACGCTTGAGCAGTATTTCGTCTCCATCATGCAGGTCATCCTCACTCGTCTCCAGAATTCGAAGACTGAGAACCTTACTATTCGATTCGTTCGTTTCTTCCACTTTGTCTCTGCACAGGACGAGAAGGGCTACAGCGCCGACTTCTTCATCCAAGTGGTCGACAAGGTACAACCGGAGTAAGAATCTTTCCGTCCTAGTAACCGCTAGCTCGCATGCTAATCTATGTTCAAAGCCTGTTCACGCCTATCTACTTGAACATCATTCTTCCAGAGACGCAGAAGCTCGCCCGTCCCTTGGACCGCAAGACTGCAGTGCTGTCATTTACCAAGACTCTGGCTAACTCGGAGGCATTTGCTAGCCGCTATAAGAAGGGATGGGCTTTTACCTGCGAGGCTCTTCTCAAACTTTTGGAGCTTCCTCCTCTTCCTGCGAGCAAGGACGACATTATTGCTGAGCATGACGTCGAGGACATGGCATTTGGTGTCGGTTTCACCGCGCTGAACAGCATCCGGCCCGTGCCTCGTGATCCTTGGCCCGAGACCGGTGCTGATCTTAAGGTCTGGACGGGCAAGTACCTGAAGGAAGCGGACGCCAAATCAAGTGGCCGGATATCTGGCTTCGTTCAAGAGCGTCTAGGTGAGGATGCCAAGCGCGTGCTCACCAGTTACATCGCATAAGCAACTTCGACTTAGGTTGTCATCCTAAGTCTGGGTACTTTGCTGGCGTCCCTCAAACTTTTGCGTATTCCCCTTGAAATAAACCATGGAGAGGAAATAGTATGTGGGAGCAAGCAGCTCTCCGTATGTCCTGATGAACTATAAATGAACATTTTTAATCTGCTATAATGGTTATATTTAATTCAATCTGTATGTGACAACGGCACGTACGGCGCGTATTCATCTCGATAAACACGTCACTTCAAAACGCGTTATCTAGAATTTATGGAGAAAACGAAAAAGCTGCAGTACCTGCTGTAACTCTCGAGGAAATGATGGCTAATAGGCTTGTCTATCTCTTCTGCTCAGGCTCCTGTGCTTCTGAGAGCTCGTTGGCTTTGTCTTCTTCATGGCGATGGGAGTCAGTATTGCTCGCGTTGTCTTCCTCATCGTGAGGTTTCTCCACCCCCTCGACCTCTTCTGTTACTCCTTCCTGGCCCTTCTCTAGCTCCCGATATTTGCGCCGAGCCTTCTTCACCTTACTTGCCTTCTTCTTTCGCGCGCGGTCAGCCTTGATGGCGGCACGACTCTTGTCCCCATTCAGAAGCTCCTCGACCTTATCCGCTAGGATGTGACGAGCATATTTCTCGTTTTGCGACCTCGACCGGGTAGCTTGCGATTTGACGACTATGCCAGTGGGCTTGTGAATAATCTGGACGGCGGAATTGGTTTTGTTCTGGGCGGATAATGCCGGACGAGTTAGCGCTGTACGGGAGGGGGGGGAAAGGTTTCTAAAGGGCTCCCTGAGAGTGACGTACAATTTTTTGACCACCGGGGCCGGTGCCCTTCAGGTAAGATATCGTCAAGTCGGCATCCTGGAACTTTAGGCGAGGAGGGAGTGGCTTGTCGGCCAGAGAGAGGGCGGAGAGAGAGAATGACCGCCGCAAGAGATTGGGAGTCGAGATGAGTGTGAAGGGGTTAGTATGACGAGCTATTTGTGAGGGACGAAACATGGTGATTGAAGGAGCTGTGGCAGTAGTAATGGCTGTAGTAGCTACGGAGCACTGAGTAAGCCTACAATATACTCGGAATGCTCATGATTGATTGTTCTTCTTGCTTGTAATGTATTGATGGTATGGCCCTTACCATACCGACTCAGCACACTTGAGTGCCAGTTACAGTAAGTTTCTTCCACAACTTTGACAACCTTCATTACACATTGATATATCAAACACTCATTCAACGATTCCTCATAGTCGAAACAGTGACCTGCATCTGGGACCCTCACGGCGTTGTGTCCTGGACTTCCGATGAGGTTTGAATTACACTCTGGATTGTTTCTGTCCAGCCATAGAAAATCCTCTGCTAACTTAGTGTGAAGGCTGACGTACGCTTTTCTGTGGGTTCATGGAGTGACACGCCAATCATTCATCGAGCACAGCCACTGGAACCAAGCTCGCTGTTACGGTACGAGTACGAGAAAGCGAAACTGCGCATAAATTGGATGTACTCGAGTACCCTGGCTGCTGCTGGACTGGACCCTTCTTACTAGTGGAACCTGAGTCTTTTATGCTGCGGTCTCCGTAACGTTAGTGGTAGACACTTTATCTGCTTAGTGTCCTGCGGCCAATTTGAAACAGTGTCCAGATCCAGCATGGACTTGACGGGGGGTTCGATTTAGCTTTCCATTCGCTCCCTACTGCTTTTTTTTCCTTGAGGCTACTCAATCTTAACGTATTTCCCAACCATTCTACAGCTGCTGTTCTTTTTCTTTCCACTCCCTCAACCCACCCTCCCCCCCCCACTTTCAGGAGACACGACGGGAAGAAGCTACCTGCCACTTCTACTTCTACAGTTGTACTCCTACTGGCCCTTTATCCGCTCAACTGGCTGCGCATAAGTCTTTTGTGAACCTTTTCTTGTCCCACGGAGATTCCTTCAACCCGCACTCCGTTGTCTCACCCGCTTACCTATCGGCCATTTACTTGTCTGCCTAGACTATAACTTCCTGAGCTCGTCGCTTCGCTTCAGCTGTCAGTTTCTCTGTCTGTCAGATCATGGATGCTTGGTAGATCTTGGCACCACCTGCTCTCATCCCTTCTTCAACCACCACTCAACAAAGTGCATCTCTCCTAAGAGCACCCGCGATAGATCCCCTGAAGCCGACTCTCCTCACATCACCATCGCCTGGTTGCTACACCATATTTCTCAATCAGTCTTATCAGCTGCCTATTTTCCTCAGTCAGCTTGAACGCGTTCGCAATTGGCGGATCCACAGCAATGACATTTCTGCTTTGGCTTGTCACGAATCTCGTGCGCTGGGTGCGACTGAAGATCTATCAGTATGAGGTGACTTTCGCCGTGTATATGCTCACCCCTACAGAGAAGTTCATCTTTAGTGCGTAAAGCTGTGTCCCTCCGAAGCGATTTATGCTTAAGGAGCTATGTCCCCATCCCCCGGATATGGCGCGCTAACACTGGAATTCAAAAAGATTCTCTCCTCCTCACCCTCCTCACCATGATTATCACCGGCATTTACGTCTATTTGCCCGATCATATCCGAGCCATTTACAGTCACTTATACTACTACTGGGTCGGCGAACGTCCATTCATCTCCGGGAATCTTCCGACCATCAGTTCAGTATTCCGCGAAGTCGGCACTCAGACGATGGATGTCCTCTACGAAACAGCGAAGAACCAAGCTGCCACGGTCACTGATTCGATTGCCGAACTCTGACCTCCCTCATTGCCTTGGTCTCCGCACTGATGTGTCTTCTACCTCCCCACCTCCTCTCGGACTTCGGCTTCCGGAAGTTCGGAAGCAACGATGCACTTTGCTTACTGAGGTGCATTTCCAGCTGTGATACCATTGGGGCCTATTACCATTCTTTCTGCTATCACCATTTGCATTACTACCGCTTCTTAATCCACCCCCCACACATCTGCTGCACCCCACATCGATTCGTCCTCGAGCATGAATTGCATCAGCATTGCATGATAAAAGCGCAGCTTCTTTTACCTCCTGGTTCATGATACTGTTGCAACGTTGTTTCATGGCGTTTGAGCGATACAATCTTCCCTGGGTCGGCGCATTCTAGGCGTTTATCGTTAGATCCTCCTCCTTGTGACCTTTTTTTTTTTCTAAAGCCCGCCACCTTGACTCGTCTTCCTGTCCATACTGTATTGAGGCTACTATTGTTATGAGTGAATATCCCTATAGAGCCTGTCGAATGTTGTGCCTGCCTCCGAGGCCATTTGGCCGAACATCGTTCATGAATGGCACTGCGAAGAATAAGCTTGGTTCTGTAACGCAGACTGTAAACTAGACTACATATCGTAGGTACAGCGCAGCGTATCCGTGCGATTCAGTCATGCAGACACCGAGACTCGAGACGAACGTATACTACCATTAAGCATTGAAGTACAATTTTGGTCTGCAGCTAAAGAAAAAAAACTCCCGAGAACAAAAAGCAAAAACAGCCCTCCATCCCAAATATACAACTCCGGTCATGCTCAGAGAAGAGTGTTATACAACGAGAGAAAACAAGGAGAAAAAACAAGTACACCCCCAGCCAGAGACAGTACATAATCGAGGGTCCCAACCTCACCATATCGGAGCGGACACGGACACTGATAACCCACCCTGACCCTCTCCCCCGCTGGGGAATCCAACGCAAACAATCAATAAAGGCATAAATATCTTTTTCCTCCGGGTCAGGATGTCAAGGCAAAGCCTGGCATTTAATCCACCCACACCGCAACGCAACCTTTTTTTTTGGTTCCCATCCCGCTCAAACAAAACAAGTCACTCTCGAAAAGGAGGGAGACTACTCTGCGGATGCTTCCGTCTGCGCGCGAGACTGCGCCTGAGCCAGCTGCAGCTCCGCCTCCGCCGCCTCCCGCTGCCTCCGCTCCCGGCGGATGGCGTCGTTCATGCGCATGCGGTTCAGCTCGCGGTCGATCTCCTCCTTCTCGAGCGGGATCTTGTGGGATTGTTCGGCGGTGGGCCAGAAGTCCCTGACGGTGAAGCGGTCGTCGAGGTTCGTGCCGAAGTAGTACATCCAGCCGATGGGGAAGAGGATGTAGGTTCCGAACTGGTGCGCAGGTGACAAGGGTTAGAATTGGGTTGTTGCCCGGCATGGGGTATGCTTATAGGAAAGCGGAGATTACCTTGAAGACCTCGAGGTTTCCACCCTGGAGTTTGCGGAGGATGGAAGACATCTTGTGCGATTTGTGGCGGAGTGGAGGAGTGTGAGGGGAGGGGATGGGATGTACGAGAGTCTGATGCCGTATATACGGGTTTGCTTGGTGGTTGTATTGGAAGTGTTTTCTTGAATGAATATCGATGTCTTGGTTATAGTCTGTCTGTCCGGATTCAAGCCAGTCAGTCAGTCTCCGGGGCGGGAACTTTTGGTGATGCTCTCCAATGGTCTGATACGAATCGATTATCTTCACGGAGCTTCTGACAAGCCGAACCCGCCGCAAAGCCCGGGATCCGTGCAAACGCAGCAAACACCCCACGTGCAATACACCGCTTTAGAAAGTCATGTGACCATGTACGAATACTCGGCGGTGCCGTGAGCCTCGGCTTGTTCGTTTCCTATGCTCGGCCCGCTGGAATCTCCCCGCATAAGCAGGGCTAGCGCTCTGCAGCAGCGGAGACTGGCCCCGTCTACTTACCTAGCCCCCAGTGTTTCTCCAGAATAGATATAACTACCTGCTCTTTCTTTTCCGTTGCTCCTTTATTCCGTAGAATTTTGTGTCCGGTGCATGAATTTGGTCGAATTTAGCCTCCATTGCATAACGGTTCCAACGCACAAGGTCGTGTGATCTGAATTTCCTGCGTGAAGTTGCCTCACTCACCAGAAGTGCATAGACACATACATCAGCATTAGAAATCCCCCCCCCCGCAACACATTGCCCTACACATAAGGACAATACAAGCCCATCCAACATGACGGACGAGAGCCTCATCACCATCACCTACCAAGGCCGAATCGCCATCATCACGCTGAACCGACCCCAAAAACTCAATGCCCTGGACCAAGACCTCTACTACCTACTAGGCGAACGGCTCCGCGAAGCCGACGCAAACAAGGACACCTACATCACGATCCTGACCGGCAAGGGACGATTCTTCTCCGCGTGAGTTTCTTTTTTTTTTTCTTTTTTCTTTTTTTGCCCGAAGCCCCGACTGCCCAAACCCAACTAACCCTGCAAAAAACCCCCAGGGGCGCCGACGTAACCATCACCCGCCCGGACGGCGGCAGCCTGAACAGCAGCGCGCGCCGCGACCTCCTCCGGGGGTTCGTGGCCAACAACCTGGACATCACGCGGACGTTCGCGCACCACCGGAAGATCCTGATCGTGGCGCTCAACGGGCCGGCCGTGGGGCTGTCCGCCGCATTGATCGCGCAGGCGGACTTCATCTACGCCGCGCCGCACACCTTCCTGCTGACGCCGTTCTCCTCGCTGGGGCTGGTGGCCGAGGGCGGGGCGTCGCATGCCTTCGTCGAGCGGCTGGGCATCGCCCGGGCCAACGAGGCGCTGCTCATGAGCCGGCGCATCCCGTGTGAGGCGCTGGTCGCCGCCGGGTTCGTCAACGCCGTGGTGACCCCAGAGTCTGGGCGTGTCGACGACTCCGATGGGTTTTTGGGCAAGGTGCTCGCCGAGGTGGAGGAGCGGCTGGGCACGCATTTGAACCAGGAGAGTCTGTTGCGGATTAAGGAGTTGGTGAGGCGGCCCGGGAGGGAGGTGCTCGATCGCCAGAATGGGTTGGAGGTGTTTGCTGGGTTGGAGCGGTTTCTTAGTGGGGTGCCGCAGGAGGAGTTTCGGAAGTTGGCCTCGGGGGAGAAGAAGCATAAATTGTAGGGGTTGGGGTTGTTGAATGATTTTTGACGGGGAGGAGGGGAGAGATTGTGCTTGTATTGCGCTGGGCCGGGCTCATATGATACATCCTTCAAGCGCCGGGGAGAGGGTCATGAGTTTGTATTGTAAACAGCTCAACAATGGTTGAAATCATAAAGCCTAATTCTGATATCACAGATTCTATCTTCACGAACGCCCTCGAAACCTGAACACCATCACCTAACCTAGTAATCTCATTTCATAAAAAACATCACTCGTCCGAATCGGATTCCTGGGTCTGCTTGGCAAGGATATCCTGCCACTGCCCGAGGAACTCGCTCATGCCCCCGGGGCCCGTAAGGGAGGCATCCACCACTTCCTTGGGCAACTTATGCGCCGAGTACTGTGGCGTTGTGAAAGCATATGCCTCGGGGTCATCGCGCTTCACCAGCCGGAACTCCGCGAACAGCGGGGCATCGTCATCGTCCCCGCCCTCGTTCTCGGATTCCGACTCGGACTCGGACTCGGGCTCTTCTGCCTCCTCTTCCACTGCACCGTTGGCACCGCGGAGAGACAACCGAACGAACTGCTCTTCCGCGCCATCGTCTTCCTCCTCCTCCAGGATACCGACGGGGTCCTTCATCGTCAGGATCTCGAGCCAGCTGAAAAGCAGCGAATCGGTCCGCTCGGCCCATGGGTTGATGTCGATCAGCCAGACCTTCTCGTGGGGCGGCGGAATGTAGACGTCGAACACGAAGCTCGGATCGGGGAACGTGCTCTTCAGCTTGTCGTCGAAGAACGCTTGGATACGCGACCGGAGCGCATCGCGCATGGGGAACAGGAAGTCGAAGTGATTCTGGTCGCGCTGGCAGATGCAGAGCAGCACACGGTTGCGCACCCAGCACCGGAATTCGAGAGACGGGTTGAAGTTGACGTATTTGCGGAGGATGAGGTGGTAGGGGACCTCAGGCGGAGTCTCGGAGGACGCGGAGTCGGCAGGTGCGGCATCAGCGGCGGCAGCGTCGGGAACGCAATCATCGAAGGGATGTTCCAGGTCATGAGTGATGAAATCACTGCTCTTCAGCAGCAGATAAATGTCGTTGGGCGTGCGGCACTGTAAGTCGTTGGTGGCCGACATCCAGGTTGCATCTTTCGGAGCACTCCAGTTCAGCTTCGGTGTCACTTTCCCCCCGTATTCGCTGATCGTGGACTTGATTTGGGAGTGGATCTCGGGCCACTCGACTGATGGGTCTGCCTCTTCAGCTTCGCCATCGTCGGAAAAGGTGTCGAGGTTATCGTCGTCGTCTGTGGGCGGGGCAGCCTCCGGCGGCAGAACAATACCGTCGGCACGCAGGTAGGAGACGAACTGGGTGCTGAGGGGAATCACTCGGGATTTGGGGACAAACGACCGGTACCTGCAGAATGCAAGGGGTCTCAGTCAGTACACCTAACCAGAGTTGACTGGCTGGTGATGGGTCGAACGTACCGAGGTTGCCAGCTGTGATACGAGCAGTTCAAGATGTGGGAGTGTGTAATCGGAGGAAAGGGTAGTCTTGTCAAGGGTTCGGAGGGAGTCCCCTCTGCTGCAGGTGTCTCTGGAGGGTCAATATGAGGCATGGTGGCGAAAAGGTGCAAGCGATGCAAGGTTGGATGCGAGATTTGTATCCGCAGAAAGAATGGTCCCTTGTCGATCGCAAAGAGAGTCTGCGGGGCAGCCACTTTTTTTGGGAGTGAGTCAAATTCCTTGCCCAATGGGGAATAGTGTACGGAGTACCAGACGGACAATGCCACGTGCTGCCTCAGGCACAACAGATCGTCATCCACTCGTTCTGGCCTGCGTAGCAACATCGACAGGACCCCCGGCCTTATCGGCGTCACCGTTCTTCGGCAGTCGTTGGCCATCTTTGGCAAGCACTCGGTGATTTTTCCCATGGCTTCAGACGGCCCGGATCCTCAGAGCCTGAAATCATGGCAGGATGCATTCCAATATCCAATTCCAACCGTGCGCCGCGTGGAGCAGGAGCTGCGGCGGGACATTGCGAGCAATAAGGAGAGGCTCCGAGCTCTGGTTGGGTATGCCGTGGTCGCCCCGGGATTTGGACTGACAGGCGGCTGATTGTTGCTTGTGAATATAGGACGCGATATAGAGAGCTTGTGGGGACCGCCGAGAAGATCGTTTCTATGAACCGTGAGATGGAGGAGGTGGATTCAACGCTGGCGGACATAGGGCGAAGGTGTAACCCGCGGTTAATGGAGAAAACGTACACCCATGTCCAGGCAGTCGCGTCGAATAAGGGTATAGCTCGTTCTAAGCGCGCGATTGATTCGCTATATACTGATGGATTGTACCAGACTCTCCCGAGCGAGCTCTCACAGGCCAGCTTGCCTTACTTCATCGCTCCGCGGTGTCGATGTCGAGGCTCCTCAGACGGCGAGGCCCGCTCCTACTCATCGCCAAGCTCATGGTCATCTCACGGCTGCTTCATAAGACCCTATCGCAACAACCGACAGTGCCGCCCTTCGTCGAGAACCTCCGCAATCAACTCGCTTCCCTCCGCCGAACCCTGCTGCGAAGAGTCGATAAGCGCCTTGCTCCTGCCAAGTCAACGCCAGACGAAATCATTGAAGCGCTGGCTGCTTACTGCCTAGCCACCAGCTCTTCTTCAGACGATGCGATCCGATACTTCCATCAAATACGTCTAGATGCTATTGGGAGCCAGCTCGAACTCAATGACCCTCCAGGCGAGAACATCCTGAACAGCTTGCGCCTTTACATTCGCACGTTACAAACTTCCAAGGTCCTACTTTCGCGGCGGCTGTCCGACGTACTAAACAAGTTGAAAGCGCGGCCACTTCTCACAGACCCCGAGGTTTGCGACCTAGACGATCTGGACCTTGGTGTCTTAGGGCGATGGGTAACTTCAGATGTCAGCAACTTCACCCCTTGGATCAAATTGAGCGAACTGTCCAGGGCGGAAGTCGATAACATCATCAAGACGTGGTCAGAAGCTGCCTTCGACAAGTATATGCAGGGGTCTCGAGAGTCATTGAAGAACTGGTCGGATTTCTCTAAACTTCTTACACTTCGTGAGCAAGTGTTAGAACTCTGGTTAGGCTCCCGGAGCTCAACGCCCGCCCACTCGTCTCTGCGGGTGCTGGAGGGCATCAGGTCTGTTTTGAACGAACGACTCACCCGTATTCTGGCGGACCAAGCAAAAGACTTGGACCAGTTCGGCCAAAGTATTGCATCCACCGTCGCGGGCTGGAGCAATTTGGATCACACATACTCCCACTCACTTTGGGACGAGCATCTTATCTCAATTGACTACTCCAATGGTTCCGCTTACTTCAAAGAAGCTGTTGTGGATAGGCTTTTGGGAAGAGACGGGGACATTGTCATATCTCTCGGAAAGTACCAAGCTTGGCTTGTATCGGTAGACAAGTCCAAAAGTTCTATCGACGCTTTGCGCCAAATTCGATGGTCTGATATTATCGATGAAGGCGAGGACGAAGACTTAGACGTGGACATTCCGGGAATCTTGACTGATGATGATCCCCGGTTGCTGCGTGAGGCTCTCGAGGCTGCTATCAAGGATGCTTTCGAGACTCTTGATCGTTCCTTTTGCGAGATCTTCAAAGCGCTCAAGGATCCGAGCCTGAATGAGCAGGTCGCATTTCTGCTCAAGCTCATCAGACTAATCCAGAGAGAACTACCCGTCGACTTTATCCCGGTAGGCTACGCATTCGCTGATAGTGTTATCCCACAATTACAAGAGATACTTGCTGCCGAGATAGTGGCGCACACGAGGCCATGGAGCCCGCAAGCTAGCTCAACTAAAAAAGCTCGAGGACTCCCAGGTCGCTCCCTTTGGGAAGGTGACCCAGCAATCCCTGTGCAACCGTCACCATCGGCGTTCAAATTCCTGCGTCGACTAGCGAAAAGTATGAGCCAATATGGCCCCGGGCTTTGGGATGCCTCGACCGTTCGATGTTTCAAGAGAACTGTACAGAAAGAACTTGTCAAACCCATTGCCTCTAGGATGGAAGAATTCAAGTCACCTTCTGTTCAGAATGGGGCTACTGATTCTGAAGCGGAGGTCAACGCTGGCGAAGCGCCAAATTCGAACGGAGATGAGAGTCCACAGCAAAAGGCTGAGACGGAGATCGCTGACCCATATAAATATCTTCAAGACCATATGATCCAGCTATATTTTGACGCCTCTTACTTCAAATCTGCCTTTGAAGTTGGTGACTCGGAGGCGAGCCACTTGGCGGACGTACTGGAAACGATTCGCGGAGAGCTTGAACCTCAATTGCAGGTTGTGAAGAAGATTGACAAAGCGGCCCATGAGCACTGGAAGCGAACCTACCTTCTATTCGGTCTTCTGGCAGAGAAGGTCGAGGCGTAAGGTGTATAGTTGTTCTTGTATATATAAAGGCATTATATTATCCACACTAGAACTGCACAAGTGAACAGGTTCCATACCAATCGCAATCCCTGTATAGATGACCTCGGATGTTACAGACTTGTCCATATTAGGAGTAGTGTCCGCGGGGGAAACTCACCGCCCACGTCACGTTTCCGCCGGTGACAATGACTTCGCCGCGGGAAAAGGCAATGCGTTCATCTCCTTCTGACCATTCTCATGCTGGTTGTTGCTCGCAGTCGCAGTGCTTCCTGACCTCTTCTACTGTCCCTGCTCAGCCTTCAATCCCTTCACCATGGCCACTCCCAGGCTTCCTTTCCTTTATCCGAACCTCATGCGAGCGGTCCGATCATGCGAACCCACGACCCACCGCTCCATTCGCGCTCCATACTCCAGCAACCAGCAAGCCCCCTTCCACACTGGTCGAAGATACGCCCCAGAAACCTACCATCGACGATACGGACCTGCCGCAGAAGCCAACCTCCCTCCCCCTTTGAAGCCCAAAGACGGTTCCTCTGAGAAACAAGCTCCCGCATCCCCAGGCCAGGAAACCAGCGCTCCGAATCCTGCCGCGCAAGAACAGTCATCGTCCAAGGAGGACAAGGCCAAAGCTCCTGAGGTCGACTCTCCCCAACCCAAAGATAAAGCCACGAAGTCAAAACCCGCCAGTGAAGGCAGCGTGACTCCAGAGAAAGCGGAGCTGGATTCCACGCCAAAGCCCAAAGACACTGAGGCCACGATCTCCGACCTCCAAGACACCACCACCACCGCCTCTAGCAAAGAGGCAGTCCCCATACTCTCCACCAACAACAACACTACCAATAATAGCAACAATGAGCGCCACTCGCCCGAGGAAACACAGTTCAACCCGCACATCCTCAAGCAGAATCCCCTGGAGGGCGTCCTCCACATGCCGTCCCCGTCCTCCTACCTGACAACGGGCGGCGGCGCCGTCCCTGACCCGACGAGCAACCCCCCGAACCTCTCCCCGGCGCCCTACGTGCACTACTTCGACACCTACTCGCTCGTGCGGGACCTCTCCAAAAGCGGCTTCTCCGACGAGCAATCCATCACGATCATGAAGGCCGTCCGCAGCATCCTCCAGAGCAACCTCGACCTCGCGCGACAGAGCCTGACCTCCAAGTCCGACGTGGAGAACGAATCCTACCTGTTCCAGGCGGCGTGTTCGGAGCTCCAATCCTCGCTGCAGATGGCCAGAGGCTCCGAGATGCAACGGCAGCGCGCGTCCCGGACCCAGCTGCAGCACGAGGCGGACATTCTCTCCCAGCGATTGAACCAGGAACTCGCCGGGCTGAAGGACGACATCAAGGGCATGTTCAATGACCACAAGATGTCGACGCGCGAGCAGCAGCGCAACATCGACACTTCGGTGCAGGAGCTCAACTATAAGATCACGGTGTCGCTGAATAGTGATGGCAAGAGCGAGATCGAAGGTCTGCGGTGGATCCTGACAAGGCGAGCGGCGATGGCCATCGCCACTAGTGCTTGTGAGTTACCGATCCCTCCCCCTCCCCCCTCCCGTCTTGTTATCCCGGGTTAAATGCTGACGCGCGCAGCAGTCATGATCATCCTCTTCCTCAAGTACTACTCCGTCCGCAAAAGCGAGGAGAAGAGCAAGAAGAAAGCCGACAAGCCGCCCAACGAGGCCAAGGAAAGTCGGGTCATCACTCCGGACCCCGTCCGGAAGCCCAAGTCGACACCGGCCCCGACCATGATCCATCTGGGCGAGTCTCTGGGCTAAGTGAACCACACCTCGGCTCAGGTCTGAATCTCGCCAGTGCCTCTAATTGACACACCCTTATTTCCCTTGCATAACCACCTTTCCCACTTCATAGACTTTTTTCTCTCCCTTCCTTGGCGGGTCTGACGGATGACCTGATCGATCAACCTTGACTGTTTCCATATTCATATTAGATTCTCCTTGCATCCGTGATCTTACCTTAGACATATACATACCCACTCGTTCTGTCCCTTCCCCCGAACTGACCACCCGCTACTCCGCCGCTGACTCATGTCGATACCCCATCGCCCCCTCTTTTCTTCACAAAGTTTCGCAGCCGAATAGCCCGGTTGAGCCTATAGATAGAAAAAACACATTTTACATCGCATTATGTTCTATCAACAATTATCCACGCCTCTATAAATCCCCTTGCGTATCTACTTGGTCTATAACCTCTTCATATATGCAAAGAAGGGAACAGAAAAAGGTAACAAGAGCCACAAACAAAATCAAAACAAATTCGCGCAAAAGACTTTAATATCATGATCTGCGTACAACAGAGCAAGTCGGCAGAGAGAAGAGTCTTAATTCCCCCCTCTTCCACTACTCGAAGCCATTTCCCACGTATCATCCTGGCGCATAGAATGTCATATACCATTAGCAAAGTAAATCAACAAGAACTCATGTACGTCATAGCTCCCTTCTCCACTTCTCTTTCAGTTTTACAGGAAAAGATAGAGAAAATATGCAGAGGGGTCAAACAAAGTCACATCACAGCAAATAGACATGGAAAAGGACGGGAGCAAGATGAGTAGGAAAAATACAATTCTCAAGCGCAGGATGAAGGAATAGATGGGGAGAACAACAAGGGTTTGATTTGTAATTGATGGACAAGAATAAAATGACCGAGGGAGATTTTGAATATACGCGGGGGAAAGGACAAGGAGAAGGAGGATAGCGTGCGTGGCTTAGAAGTCCATCCGCAGCGCAATACTGGGCATGCTCTGTTGTTCATGGTCCGAGTATGCGCGGTCGCGGCCCTGCTTGGTCCCCGTGCCGGAGGTTGCGTCGGCGCTGCGCAGGATATCCTCGAGGAGGGTCTTCTGGGCGGGCTGCATGGTGGCCACCAGGGCGCGGAAGATGGCTTGGTTGGCTTTGGCGAGCTCGAGCAGGTGAGCGGAGGTCTCGGTATACACGGCGGAGCCCTCGCGGTCGGCGCGGGCAAGGAGGGCGGACATGACGAGGGACATGGCGGTGGGCGTGGCGTCCGCGGAGAAGACGGCGGTCGTGACGCAGGAGACCAGGGTGCGCGCGATGACAGCTCTAGAATTCTCCGGGTCGTCGGCCACGTCGCCGTTCTCCTTGGGGCAGCCGACGTAGAACGCGATGAGGCGCGGGGTGAGGTAGCGGGCAATGCTCTCGCTGGTGGTTGATTTGGGGGAAGAAGTGAGGAGGATGGAGCGAATACAGCCCGCGGCGACGTTGGCGAGACCGACGTCCTGGAGGCAGTCGAGGAGTTCGTCTAGGACGCAGGGGATGACTGGGTCGTGCGGTGGGATAAGGTGACCCCCGGTGGTGAGCAGGATAGCGATCGCCAAAAGCGTATTCTTCGCGCAGGGTAACGACGACTCGGACTCTCGCCGTTGCGCGATGGTCAGCGTCGTGAGGAAGCGAGTCAGGCAACCGCGTAACTGGCGGGACACGACGGCCAGGTTCTCGGGGTCGTCTGGCCCAAAGTCCCGGTTGTTGCTGACGCTGCTGATGAAATGCTTGAACGTGGGGAGCGCTTGGGGGACGACGTCGGCTTGGCATAGGCCCGTCGCTAGAATTGTACTGAAGATATGTAGGATACATGCGTTGAGGTCATTGCGGATAATGGAAGGGAATATTGAGGCGACATTGACCAGCGAGGAGAGGGAGAGCCGGATGAGCGACAAGGCGTCTTCTGATCCAACGCTAAACCGTGCAAGAGGCGTGGACTCTCGCAAGTTAGGTAGTAGTCCCGCAAGGACAAGGATGATGCTTCTCGTCAACTCGAAAAGCTGTTCGATGTCATCGGAAAGATGGTCATCTCGACCCTCGCTTCCCTTGGCTGACGGATGGTCTAAAGAGAGGTTGCGTGCAATTTCCACGATCACGTTCTGTATAGGGGTGCCTTCAGTCAAAGCAAGGCGGTCAAGCGAGTCCATTGTCTCCGAAAAGATAGCGTCCTGATAGATTGCATTGCCGGAGATCACTGGTCGTAGGATTCTCTTAAGTGCTTGGAGGATTTCCAGTCTTTGTGACGGGGTGGTGGACTGGTCAACCAAAGCCTCAAATGCAAGACCAAAGAGAACAAAAAAGAAAGCGACAGGCTCGTCGCGATAATTGATGTCGTGGCCTTTGCTTCCGATCTCTCCTTTCGGCGCATCCTGTTCCTCTTCATCTGATTTTTTCGACTCCTCAAGATCGGACTTGCCGTCTAACGCGTCAAAGACAAAATCAATATCCTTCTCAACCAACCCAGCAATTGCATCGACAAGGTTCAACCAGGAATCTTGGTAGAACTGGAAGAAAAGTCAATATACAGCAAGTTCATGTGTCAATCAAGTCTCATCATACCTTTAAGAGGGTCTCGCGGTTCAGTGCAGCGTACACTTCGTCCAAGTCGCCCCCTAGTGGGCCTGTGCCCAGGCTCCCCGAAATATCTGGCTCGAATCTCAACCGTGCGTACTCCTGAAGAGAAGAGAGCCAGAGGGGCGTAAGCTTGGTTAAGTATGGCTGAACGACCTCGTTCAGGTATTCTTGCTCGATACTAGCGATCTGCAGCCGTGCCCAGGCTGAATACAACGCCATTTTAACCATGACCCTGGCATTGGAATTGAGCCCCTTCAGTTCGCCGATTTCGGTCGTATCCAAATTATCTTGGTTTCATTAGCGAACACCGACGCAAAAGCTTGATGAGCACACTCACTAGAGAAATTCTCAAGGCCGAGGACCAGGAGTTTAAGAATCCTGCCCATTCGCTCTACGTTCGTCACAATGCCCGTCGCAATGAATGTTGCTGAGACGTTGATGGCCTCAGACGCAAGTTCGGCGGACGAGTCAGCAGCGAATGCCGGGGTCAGAGCCGATCCAATCTGAGCCTGATATTGCTCGAGCAGAGACGCCTCCGTGAAGTCCGGGTCTGGAGTCTTTCCAAACATCTGGTGCCGTATGTCAGTAAGATCTTTCCGAAGACGGGAACAGGCAGGAATCATACTCTTAGAACCTGGTCGATAATCTTCAGTCCCCAGATGCGGAGCTCTATCACATTTGCTGTAGAGGCCGAGAACGCCATCCTGACAATGTCTCCGACCTTTTGTTGTAAAGCAAGTTCAGCGGGAATGACTTGATCAGGCAGAATCGCTTCCTGTACGATACACAGGAGTTCACTCAGACAACTCATAACAAAGTTCCGCGTTTGCCATTTTAGCAGTTCCTGTCCGGATACTGCGTCATGGGCTCCGTCAGATTGTCCGGCACCAGCAATTGCGGACGCAAAACCTGCAACCTCGTCATCCGGCATATCGTTGGCCGATGGCTTCACAGCAGATGTAAGAGGCGGTTCTTCCGCTTTGACGCGCGTCTTGGTCAAGGTATTGTGGCAGCGCTGGATCCAAAGCTCCGTCTCTTCGAGCGCTGTCTGCTGCATCCAATCTTGGATCATGCCTTTCAGAATCGGATTGTCAGGCGTATCGTCAAACGCAAGCCAAATTTCCTCTTCAAGCGCCGGAGTGGCGGTGCGGATAACAGAAGCGGCATCTCTTTTCATCAGATTGCTGAGACCTCGGAGAGCCACATCCCTCATGAGAGGATTATTAGCAGAAAGCTCAACCTGCAACCGTTTGACATATCCAGAGAAGTCGACGTATGCCGGCGCATACAGTGAGAGATGATCCAGGCACTTCGAACTCTCCGTGACCAGGGCCGAGTTGTCCTCCAGCTGGAATTGCCTGAGCAGGGTGAGGATGAGGTTTCGCGTCTTCGCAATGTCTTGGAGGTCAGGTCCCAGCACATTAATTAACGAGTCAACACAGCGACTGATAAGCACAGGAGTAAGGAAGGTCATCTCAATATTGGATGTAGCCAAGGTCGCGGCCTCCTCATTGTGGGTATCCGCGTTGTACAACTGAGCGAGCATTCCGAGAGAACTCGAGACGAAAGGCGAAAAGGTCAACCCCGCGGAGTTCGCAACTCGTTCTAAACCACCCAGAGCCCAGAAGTGGACCACTGGGTGAGGGTCGTTACATAAAGACATTAAGACGCCAACGATGGTTTTGAGATGCAGACCAGCTGCCATGCCGCCGACTTGGGAATGAATGCAACCTAGAGCAGCAGCGCAACCAGCACGGGCATTAGGCTCTCTATTTTCAACAATCTTATCCACAAGCCAATTAATTTGTGTATTTGTGAAGGTGTTGCCGGAGCTCTCGCACAGCCGCCCAAGCGCCTCGGCGCCGACTGTGCGGACGATTAGGTCGGGATCGGTGACGAATTTCTGTCATCGTTAATCTTTCCGTCTTATCTGCAAAAGTTACATACACTATTGTCTCACCTGAACAAGCTCCTGTAGGACTTTATCAGTGGCGGGGTTGAGCCTCCCAGCTCCGGGGCCAATCTCCTTGACCGATACTTTGAGTGCATGAAGAAGCGCCACAGCAACGTTGACTATCATAGCAGCCTTGCGACCAGGGTTTCGCTGGAGGCTGGGCGACGCGAGATATGTTGCAATCTGCTCTACACTGCTTTCCTGAACCTTGGGGGCGTGCAGTGAAATAGCCACGGAAAAGAGATCGATGGCCGCATTCACGACACCAGTTGCGTGCGGATCAGCCACAAGACAATCTCCTTGTCTCGATGAATAGAGCAGGACCGAGTCGTGTTCGCTTGCAGGAAAGATTGGGAATGTCAACTGTTCATGTCAGTACGAAGTCAGAAGCAGGTACGTATGTCTTCAACTTACAGCGTCATCGATACTTTGATCTACAGAATCGACAGCA